GGGGCTGCCGGCTGCGGGTGCTCCATCCGCGGTGGGCGCCAGGCCCGGCTTCTCGGCGCAGGGTAGGGAGCCCCCGCCTCCTCCGGGCCTCAGACTCTTGCGAGGAAACCTACGGCGCCTACTATTTAAGGAGCGGCTGGGGCGCAACGCTTGGGAAAGGAGAATGTTTGTCTTCCCACTCAGCGCACCTCTGGGATAAATCGAAGTTTTTCAGCCATCGCATTTGCCTAAAGGGAGGTGCCCCTTCCACTATAAATAACGAATGCGTGCAGTCCACTGGCACTAGCCGTTCCCTGAACCTGCTTGCCATGCTGTCACGAGCCACACTTCCAAGGCTGGGTCCCACAGAGGAGAACCACCTCCTCCTGTCCCAGTAGGAGTTTGCCTTCCCATCCTTGGGCCCCTCTCCCCCCTTCTCATGAACAACTGTTACTCCCTTTCCACAAGTGAAACTTTCAAAGTAATATGCTTCCCATGAGGGCAGTGTGACTGGGCTCCATAAACATTGCCCGCTTTGTGTAAATTCAGTCTTACACTCCCAGCATACCCATGTCTTCCCCCACACATCACAGAGACGCTGCTGCCAGTCAAGGGCTCTTCTTTCTCTTCCCTTACCCCCAGGCCCAGCCTCAGAGTCCACACCAGAGCTCCAAAGTAAAATGTGATCTATCCGTGCAATGGATTATTACTCAGCCATAAAAAGGAATGAAGCACAGATCCATGCTACAACGTGGATGAACCTTGAAAACATGCCACATAAAAGAAGCCAGACACGAAAGACTACATATTTCATATGATTCCATTCGTATGAAACGTCTAGAATTGGTAAATCCATACAGATTGTAGCTGCCGGGGGCTGGGGGAGAAAGAAAGTGAGAGTGACTGCTAATGGGCTTGGGGTTTCCTTTGGGGGTGATATAAAAGTCTGGAATTAGAGGTGACCCATTATGCTTCTACTTAATGCCTTTGAATCATACTCTTAAAAAATGGTTTAAATGGTAAATATTATGTGTATTTAACTGTAATAAGGGGAAGCACTAAACTCATCATTGCTGTGGTATTCCTGCCAAAGTGCGTAATGCCCCCCCTCATCATGAGAGAGCATCAGACAAACTCAAATTGAGAAATATTCTACAAGGTGATTACCCAATATTCATCAAAAGTGTCAGGTCATGAAAGACAAAGTCTCAGGAACAGTCACAAATTAGGAACTATCCTTATAGGACACAAAAACTAAATGGAAAATGGGCCCCTGATTTGGACGGTGGATCAGAAAAGGACACATAAGATCTGCAGTTTTGTTAATGGCAGTGTGCCATGGTTAATTTCCTGGTTTTGATCCTTCCACTCTGGTTATATAAGACATCAACATTAGGGGAAGCTGGGTGTAGGGTGTTACAGGGGAACTCCCTAGTATTTTTGTAACTTTTCTTTAATTCTAAAATTATTTCAAAATTTAAAGGTTTTTTAAAAGTTAAAAATAAAAATAAACTTTTATTAAGCATCAACTATGTACCAGGTACTTTTACTTACCTGAAGTTCAGGAAAGTAGTGCATTGCACAGGCCAGTAAATGGGATAATATTTGTAAACTAACATTGACCAGACATGTAAAAAATGCCAGAGAGCACTGGACACTTTCACTTGTGACCTATTTGGTCATTACCACAACCCTCTGAGGTAGATATTATTGTCCCTCATTTAGAGATGTGAAACCAAGGATCGAAGAAAAAAGTGCCCAAAGCCCCACAAAGGGCAAGTTACTAGTTCAGATTCAAAACCAGATCTCAGATTTCAGAGGCCTTGACTCCCCAAATGACCTAGCACCGCAGTCTGTGAGCCTCACAGTGGCCCAGCCCAGACCCTACCTGTCTCCTCCACCCACCTAGCTGAACGGGAGTCCCTTGGAGACAGGGCTCCCAACTTCCACTTACCCCCCACTGACTGCAACACTGCACTGCCCACTTCCTAGTTTCCTTAAACAATTTGAAAGGTACTTTTCCTACACTCCCTAAATTATCTCTGTCCACTGTCCATTTGTGCTGTACTTTCATATTTTTAAATTAACTAGCCCTGTCAGTTTTTAGACCTGAATAATAATCATACCCACCTCCTTGCTTCTTGTTTGCATGTGCTTCTAGAAGCAGTTGGGCTGCATTCCCTGCTGTTGAAATCTACAAGCTCCCAGAACCTCCCCAGCCCCCAGGTTAGGTTATGAGTCATGCCATAAACCTCAGGGACTGGGGATATGACACCGTACAGACTAGGCCCCAGGGATACAATGATAGCAATCATATCTTCAAGGGACCTGGGAAGGATACCCATGGAAAGGACTGGGTTAAGAAGATGGCATCATTTAGGCTTGGTGACAGACTGGATGTGAGAGAAAGTTCTACAAAGGAGGTTAACCATGTTTTCATAATGCCAAGACCCAGCAGGAAAACATCAGAGAGTGCCAGGTCCTTCTCCTTGACCCCTGAAAGCATGAAGGTGCCTGAATCCCAAAAGATACAGGACACATGCACAGCTTTCTCCAAACATCCAACCCAGGCTGCTGCCAAATCTTCAGGGTTTCTCTCTATCTGTGATATAGGCAGAACTCCCACCCAATGTGGTGTGGATCAGGAAGTGTCCATACAAACTCTACAGAAGCCAGAAAGCTTTGCCTGCCCAGTGTCTCATCCTTGCCCTTGTTCACATGCAAATTCAGCTGATGGGCCATGGCCTGGGCTCCAAGCCATCAGAGGTCAGACTGGGTGACAACCATGACCATCTTTGAGATTTGTAGTGTATTGATTGAATTCTGGCCATTCTCCTCATGCCAGACCCTGAGGCTTGGCAGTGCCCATGTTATTTTGGGTTTTCAGGTGGGCAACAATCTCAGAGAACCTCCACTGGAAGATGGGAATCCCTGCTGTTATCAGATCATGTGTCCAAAGCTTCAGTTACAACTTTGAGTCTTTTTTTCTTTCAATTGATAAGGGTGAGGTTGTAGGAATGTACCCACATTTTTTTCCTACCATTGACTTCCTTGATCTTGTGGTGACTGGTCACAAGTCTCAGCAGTGGCCTTCACATTGACAGAGAGAGGATCGGGTGTGCTGGCAAAGCAAAAGAAGATCTGTTAGAGAAGATGACCAGAAATCCATTGCAGGCTCCTCCATATTCCAGGAATACTCAATCTAGCCATGTACATAGAGTCTAAATCCTCCAATGCCTGGTGCAAGCCCAGTAAATACTCTTTGAACAAATGCATGTGGGAATTAAAGGAGATAAGATGTATGTGAAGTAGTTAAGCTCACAGTTGCTTTTGATAAGCAGAATCAACAACATTTTATATAATGCTTTTGAGTTTACAACTCTTCTTTACCTGCATTTATACTAGAGGCTGGGTTTAAACATCACTCTGAAATATGTGATGGCCATGTGTAAGCCCTCATGGGAGCAGGGAGGCCAACCCATCACATTTTGAAGTAAAGAGGAGCCAGTTAGTGGCCCCACCAAGATAACCTTAGTCGAGAGAGAGAATGGCAGATTTGGAGTAAATTGTGGTGTCTGCTTCTCAGTTGTGACCTGTCCCAGCTCCTGCCAGACTGTTTATTGCTCCTGTCCCAACCTGTGGGTAATGGGAATACATTATACACCCAGGTGTTGGAATATTTATACACCCAGGTGTTGGTGTATAAAGAATTGTGCAAGAGCTGTGTAGTGGGTGGAATAGTGTCCCCTCAAAATTCATGCCCACCAGGAACCTCAGAATGTTACTTTATTTGGAAATAAGGCCTTGCACATATAATTGGTTAAGATTAGGTCATATTGTATTAGAGTGGCCCTAAAGACTGGCGCCCTTATGAGATCAGAGGTCATAGAGACTCACGGGGAGGAGAAAACCATATGAAGACAGAGGCTGAGATAAGAGTGATGCAACTGCAACCAAGGAATGCCTCCATGCAGTGCTGGGAGCCCCCAGCAGCCAGAGAGCCAGGAGGGATCCTGCCCTAGAGCCTGCCGCCAGGGCAGAGCTCTGCTGGCACTTTGAGTTCAGTCTTTGGGCTTCTCCAACTTCTGTTATTATGGCAGTCTCAGGAAACTAAAACTAGCTGTTTTGTTACAAACTCTGCCAGATGTCAGGGTATAATTAGCACCCAAGTGACCCCTCTCACAGCGGTGGACAGAAGAGACAAAGGGGAAGAGGCTCTGCTCCACTTCAGAGCAGACTACAGCAAATCTTTAGCATCTGAAGAGCTCAGAGAGCTGCTGGAGAATCCCAAGGATGGGGGTGGAGGGTGGAGATCAGCCCTGACCAGTAGGACTGAGAAAGAGCAGGGGAAATCCTATCACTTCTGTTCAAAAAGCTCAGGTTACACAACATTGGGCCCATTTTACGAACAAAGAACT